AAATATTTTCATTAATAAATAAAATACAACACATAAATACATTAAAGGTTGTTTGCTGTGCATAATATTAAGCAAGCTTGACAAAAAACTTATAGAATTAAAATTAAGTGTTCCTTCCTTAGCTATGCTTTGCACACAGAACAATGACACTAGCCAAACCGGTTAAGAAACAAAAATAATTCTCAGCAGCTGCACCTCTTACAAAAAAAAAGTCTGAAACTGAAAAGTGCACAGAATTATTCAATCACACAGTGTTCTGAAAGTGCATTGTCCACTATTCTGCACTTTAGATGAATGACTGTTTAGGTGCCACTGGTGGTGGCGGCACTGTATCGATACTTTTAAAAACGAGTATTGTATCCAGATACAACGTTTCAGTATCGATACTTTTTTGAGTATCGATACTTTTGACAACCCTAGTACATACGACAAAGCATTTCATTCGTTTAATTAAGAACGGTCGGTCCGGTCTCTGAGGATCTCCTCTTGACTCTACTTAAAGGGGAACGCTATTTTTATTTTTTTTTTTTTCATTGGGCCCTTGATTTTACGTTATTACATCATGTTCTACTCGCTCATATGATTTTTGTGTCATTTGGAGCTGTTCTGAAGATATTTGGTTAGGTTATATCCAAGTTACGTGCAGGATATCGTTCCTGATCTGTATACCACTTTGTTCAAATTTTGTCCGGTCTCCCAATAAGTGGGACATTTCTGTTGGAACTACCCAGATCTTTTCTCTGACCATCATTCACCTCCAGCTCCTGGAAGAGGCTGCGGAGGTTCTGATGCTGATCCAGCAGCTGGATCGCTGCCTCCTGCAGCTGTTGACCATCTTCATGCTTTGGCTTCTTTATCACACGGCCAGCTGAAACCAAACCAAAAGAGAAATAAAATAAATTATGAAGGAACATTTGAAGCTGGTAAACAATCTGACAAGAGAAACATATTGAGAGGTCAACATCTCTGGCTCTGGTTAGAAAACTCCTTTGATGACTTTAAGATGTTAACATTCTATACCTCACCACTACCAAACAGGAATCTGTCTGCAGTGAAAATTTGTATCAGGATAAAACAACGATTCTACCAACCAGAGACAAAATCTTCTCCCAGGTTTTCCAGCAGGTGGAGACACTGATGTGCATTGTTATAAATAGAGGCAGTGGGCAGAGTAGTGGCGCAGGATTAAAGCATGCAACCTGTCAATGGGGTCCTTAGAGCTCAGAGTGGGTGTTTAAGCATTAGATTGTTGGCCTTGGATGACAGGTTAGAAGAAAAAAACTTTCAGAGGGAGGAATCTCAAGATGTTTATCCATAAATTGACCCAGAAATATTAAAATAAGTACCAGCACTAATAGGCTGAGTATTATATGAGCTGACCAAAAAAGGAGACCAACAAGAATATTGCCAAACATCCCCTTCAAAAGTTCAATCTTTAATGTGTTTAATCTTTATGTGACAGAAAAAGACAGAGTAAAAGTTTAGTGTAAAGGGTGAAAGGAAACCAATTCAGAGTTTCTACTGTTTTACAGTTATCTGTAAGGTTACCCCTGATTTAAGTCCGTTTTTGTGGTTGCCATGACTGAGAATAAACAAAACATGACAGGTTTAAAATAAATAAATAAAATGGCACCCTATTTTCTTATAGACAAAAATGCTTTGTTCTTCATTTGCAATTTCTTTTATGAGGAGCTGGTGAGAAGGAAGTTCCAAGCTTTCCTGGGTAAGAATCTTCATCTGGTTTGTATTCAGCCACCTTGACTCTAATGCACATAAATAAAATATAGTTAAACAATGCACCAATGCATCATAAAACATGGTGGTGGCAGCATCATACTAGGGGAAGGTTATCGTTCAGCAGAAACAGTGGAGCTGTTCATAGGTGATGGAAAATTGATGGTGTTAAATTCAGGACCATCCTAGAAGAAAATTTGTTATATGCTGCGAAAGACCTGAGACTTCAGCCACAGATGGTCGATCCAAAGCACCTCATGAATGTTAATATCTATTTAAATGAGCCAGCTGACCAGTTTAAAAACAACCAGCCAAACAGCCAGTTTAACAAAGGCAGAAATAGGTGCGTTTGGGCCAGGAGGCATAGGTCCGGCCCGGCAGGAACGAGGAATGAGACAGTGACCACCCCGCACCAGAACCGTCAGGGAGCCACAAGACACAGGCACCTCTCATTGGCGGTGAGCTCATTCACTCAACCTGACAAGTAGACAAAGACAAATTCACATTCATCCAGTCACATTCACACAATCCCACCCTTACACCCATATGGACAGATACAAGCACTCAACAGAGACGCACAGAGAGGCAGACACTAAACATATTCTTACAATCCTCACACAAACAGTATCCTCCCAGGTCTATGGACCAATCCCCCGAGGAAAAACAGGCCCAGGCCCAAAGACCTAGGTGGAAAACTCCAGATCCCCCAGTGTCAAGAGGACAGACAGCTTGAGCTCTTAAAAAAAAAAAAATAAATAAATAAGGGCTGCTCACCAAAGGGAGGAGAGCAGCAATGTAGCCCAGGTCCCCAGTTCTTCCCCCAAACACCACCACAACACCTTCAGTCTGGTGTATGGACTGATTTTTATCAACAATTCATTCAGGATAAGTTATGATGAATGAATAAATGAATGAATGAATGAAGGAAGAAAGGAAGAAAGGAAGAAAGGAAG